CTTGTCAAGGATTTTTTAGTAAGTGGCCCTATCCAAGTATAAACTGACTTGACTTCCCATGCCACATCTTTAAGCCTAGCCATATCTCCAATCCTAGCTGTAAATCGAACCAAGTTGAAAACCAATTAAGTTGTTGATTGCTGGGTTGAGTCATTGATCAAACCATTGTCCATATGAAAATTTTGGTTATTTTTTTAAAATTTAGTATTATTTACTTATTTATTTGATGAGTATTTAATTTGTTTAGGTAAAAATTTCTTTTGAAAAGTTAAAAAAATAGTTTAAATATCAATCTTTTCTTAAAATTGTTTTGTTGAATAAAAGAAGAAAAAATTGAAATATCAATTTTTTCTTAAAATCAAATTTACCTAAAAATTTTGGAAAATAAAATCAAGTTTTGAATCTTCCAATGATAAAATTACTAGAAAGTTGAAATTGTAATTTTTATATAAATTCCTAAGTGATGAAATATTCTTAAATTTTTGCCAAAATATTGAAATAATTTAAAAAGACTTCATAATATCAAAGTTTCCAATTAAAATCAAAATTTTACAAAAAGTAATAAATCCGACAATGGAGCCTTTTAAGCATGATAAATAGTCTCTTTGAATACTCTTAAGGTGATGAGATATTCTTAAATTGTTATCAATATATTAGAATAATTTAAGAACAATTTCCAATGTTAAATTACTTTGTAAGATTTTTTAGGCTTTAGATAACAAGAAATCAAATGGTATTATCCTTTAAATGAGAATTATGGGTGTGTTAAATCTTCCCTATATATAACCTTGCTTTCAGACCTTGCCTAGTTTCATAGACTAGAATTTACTCTTTTAAGGAACTTGAGTCAAGTTTAGAATTTCTTTAAAAGGTCACAAATTTGGTTATGTGGCCAATTGTACCTAAATAAAAAATATTTATGGTGACTTCTCTTGTTGTCTTTAGCCAACAAGTCTTCAGACTTATACATTATGACAAGGTTAATAAGAGAAGGACCAAGTCTTCTTTATGTAGAGGAGTGTGTTTAGCCTAGTTTATTACAAATAGAATATGTGCCTTTGACTATTCTCCTTGGACTTTAAATTTATTTATAATCCTTGAAGTTTCTAACTTCTTTTTAATTAAGTCTAATTTAATTTAACCCAATTTAATCTTTCACAAGCCACATTTTATCTGTATATAATCCATTAGGTTATTTAACATGTTTGCAATAAATATAGGCACTGTAATCCTTAATTGATTTGGATTAAATGAATCAAACTCTTTTGAGTTTTTTATTATTTCTTTAATTATTGAAATTTATATTTATAATTCATGATTGTCATCTAGTAATGAGTCATGACCATTTAATTATTAAGAAAGGTTAATTAGGTAATTTGACCAACCTATTCGTTCTTAGTTTCTTGGTATAATTATTATAATTTTATCCCTATATCTTGATTAAAATAGAGTATGGTTTAATGTCTACCCTATATGCATCAATTATTGTAATTCTTGAATCATGAAGTCATTATTTGTAAAAATGAATTTTAAAACTATTCCAAAACTTCATTTCACTTCAGTTGAATGTTTCATGAGTTAATATTTTTTAATAATAATGAGATGCTCACCTAATTACTAAGGATAATAAATCTTTTCTTGATTACTCATGTATCTCTATATGCCTCATATTATACCTAACTATATTGATTGAAACTTTCATGGTTAAGACCATAAATAAGGTAAAATCAAAGTAAACATTACTCATTTAATATCGACAGTAATCTTAAGTTAAAATATCACTTCTAAAATTAACACTAAGAATGTTTCTATAGACATCAAGTGAATTATCAAATGGCATTCTCATACTAGTTATATTCAATGAACTTGTCTTGTAACAAGCACCCATATATTAGTTCAAGTATATATATGAGATCGAATGCTTGCTTCATATGTAAGATTATAATCATGTGTGGTTCTCAACAGCTTCTATCAATATCCATTTCTTGATAAAACATTGACTAGAAACAATTTAGGAATAATTTTTTTGATGATATAATTATCTCATAATTTTACAACTTCTTGTAATTCCTTTAGAAAACATATCTATTCCATAGGCTTTATCCAATAATTAAGTAAAATCAACTTTATTAACATATAGATAAAGAATCCATTAGTTAACAAAAATAATGTTAACATGACATGTATTCTATAACCAATCCAACTAGTCATAGGGCGTAAACTAATAGATGTATATATCGACATTTTAAGATCTTAGGCTAACACCCTAATGTAGTGTTTGGTATGGGGTAGTCACTTCAAAAATCAAGGTGATCTATACATGGTTGTTAGATCATCGTATTTAGTAAGCATTAGGTGATCCTATGTGACAATGATTTTAGATCACTGAAAATGATTAGATCATTGTTTTGAAGGGTGATCTAATTCTCAACTAAAAGGTAGAAAACTTTTATCACCAAGGCGAAATGATATGTAAAATTAATCATAGTTAATATTATCCATTTACTATGTAAATTAAAAACTTGTTTTTTCTTAAAATCAAAATTATTTATTAGATATTTTTTATATTTTCAAATTAATGTTTGTAACAAATTCAAAAATAATTTGTGTATTTTTTTTTTTTACTTTTTAAAATTTTTTATGTAAAATATAATTTTTTATTATGGTTTAATATATTATTTTTATTTTCAAATTCAAAATTTTTTTACATAATTTATATTATAAAAATTGGTTTACCTAATAAATAAAATATATATTAATTTAATAATTCAATCATACTTTATTATAAAATAAAAAAATATTATTATATTTTACAAATGATTATTTTTATCAACATTAAAATCATTAACTTATATAACTATTACAATATGCATGATTATTTTCGTACTTTTAAATAAAATAATGTTTGATTTTAGTAATATCAAACACGATGATATTTAATTCCTATGAATTAATGATTTTTAACTAAATAAAGTGATTTCACATCACAAGTGATAAGATCAAATTGATAATAAGATTATTACGGTGATTAAATTACCATGATAATCTTGAAAATGATACCAAACACTACCTAAGTATTGTGTTTGACTGAGCTACGATACTCATTTATCCTAGAAGAATAAGAATGATATAGATAACACTATAATATAAATTAGCTTAAAAACTTTCTTTAGTTTTATATAATTATCACATTTAAGAAAAAACTAATGAACAAATTAAGATATATTAATAAATCGACATAAAATTAAACAAAACCTAAACATAATGATCATAATGATCATGGTGATGGGTGATAAGAGCTAGAAGGAGCCTTGGTCCCTCAAATTTTTAAAAACCCCTTACTTCCTTATGATATGTATATGTACTTATATTAAATACATTTAAATTGATCTTTAAATCAAAATTATTAATTTTTTTTTGTGGTTTCATTACTTAATCTATGTATTACAATTTAAGAGATGTTCAAATCACATTAGTATTTGTTTGTTTATTATACCTAAATATCATTGCTTGCCAATTCTTAAAAGTAAGAAACTTGTCATAAGTTTTAAATCACATTCATATAAACTTAATATAAGTTAAATTAAAATTTTAATTTTCTCCATATGATTCCAAGTTTTCGACAAGTATCAAATATGTTTTTCTTTTCTTTTCATTTTTTTGATATAAGAGAGATCAAACCTAGAAGATTTAGGCAAAGAAAAATTGCAAGTTTTAAAAATTGAACTCTAAATTTTTTTCTAGCTTTCTTCAACTTTTGTTCTCCATATCATTTTCCACTTTTATTTTTACTTTAGATTTTATATTTCATGTTATTGTAATTTTTTTTCCAATAAAAAAATTATATTGGAACTACTTTGTAAAAGGATTAAACAAAACTTTAACTTTTAATCTCAAAATTTCATCATTATTTTTTTAAGACTATATTTAGTTTTATTGTTTTGATAAAATGTTTAATGATTGGTTTATTCATATTTCTTTTTTATTTCAATTTTAAATTACCAAAAAAAAAAAAGGTTCCCATAATTCATTGATAAATTGTGTAATTAATAATTTTACCGTTAATTGTAAATCTTGTACTATTAAAAATATAATGTTATCACAATAATATTTTTGTTTTATAATTTAATGATAACATCATATTTTTGTTAGTATATTATTTGTATTAATAAGTATGATAAAAAATTTGTTAAAAAATAAAATAAAATATATTATAAATTATTAGTTGGCCATTCCAAAATTAAATGTTAAGATCTGTCATTGATAATGATCAAACTAGAACCCTAAGAATCCTAAAATTTACAAACATGCTTTTTCTTTTCCACAAAGTTACTTAAATAAGAAGTTAAGATTAAAAGTTAATAAAAGGCTCATGCATTCTCCAAACCAACTCAAAATTAGAGTTGTGAATGAATCGAGTTATTTATAAGTTATTTGAATACGATTAAAAAATTTTGAACTTGATTAGTTTATCATCAACCTAAATTTAAACTTTTTGAGTAATGAATAGAACCAAATTCAAGTAATTTATTATCTAACTTAAAAATTTCGTAAGTCTAATAAGTTTAATTAAGTTTTTATTTTTTAATATATTTATATAAATATAAGTAAATAATAAAAATATTATATTTAATATTAATATTTATAATTTTATTAAATTTAATTGAATTTATTAAACCTTGAATGATTTAATTAAATTACAATCAATGTAAAAAAAAAAAAAATTCGACGAAATTTAAATAACTTTAAATCTTCAATTTTTAAGTCAAGAACTCGAACTTAAAGATATAGACTCAATTTCTACTCTTATCGCAATCCTACCCAAAAGCATGAACTCATGGCCCTCGTCCTCTCCCGTCTCCAATAACTATTCCTGGTTACATCATACATTACGCTTACCAAAAGAACAAACTTTTTGTTTTTCTTGATCGACGTGTACGGTCCAGATTAAAAACTAAGCGTGTCCTTGATTCTGAACCTCTATAAAACCGTCCTTCATTTCCGCTTTTCTCTCTCTCTATCCATTTTTTAAGTTGTTGTATTTACTATTTACTTTTATAAAAAAATTTTGTCCCCCATATCCCCTCTTTCTTCTTATATCAACTTCGATCTCAAGAAAAAAATATTTGTCGCCAGTCGCCACCGTCTTAAAACCCTAAATATCGACAGATCTGATTCAGATCTTGAAAAATAAGAATTCCGAATTTAATTTGCTGACGGATCGTAAATTATTGGGTTAATTATTAACTCTAATCTATTTCTTCCGCGATCTATTGAAGAAAATTTAGTGGGGTTTTTTATTTTTATTTTTTGGTATTGAGTGCTTGAGATTCGGATCGATTGTTACTTTTTTCCAGAAAAAATTGGTGTGTAAATATATGTTTGTTGTTGGATCTAATTGGACCGCGTGGAGTAAATTAAAGAAAAAAGAGGAAACCCTAGGCCAGATGGAAAAAGATGAAAACAAAATGGAGGATGTTGAAGAAGGTGAAATTTCGGATTCAGCTTCAATAGAGGAGATCAGTGAGGAAGATTTTAACAAGCAAGAGGTTAAGATTTCGAAGGAATCGAAATCACCGAAAGATGGGGAAGCAAACTCGAATTCAAGAGTTTGGACGATGCAGGATCTGTGCAAGTACCCGTCTATTATTCGAGGGTATGCTTCGGGTTTGTATAATTTTGCTTGGGCACAAGCAGTTCAGAATAAACCTCTTAATGAGATTTTTGTTAAGGAGTTTGAACAACCACAACCACAAAAGGACGAGAACAACAACTCCAAGCGATCGTCACCGTCGTCTTTGGTCACTTCTGTAAATGGTAAAGAGGAGCAGGGCAGTAGTGGAAATTCAGCTGATAGAGTTGTGATTGACGATGATAGTGGGGATGAAATGGAGGAGGACAAGGTTGTTAATCTAGACAAAGAAGAAGGGGAGTTGGAAGAGGGGGAGATTGATTTGGATTCGGATGGTAATGTTGGTAACTCGGATGAGTTGGAGAAGCGGGTTAACCTGATTCGGGGGCTACTGGAAGGGATTTCTGTGGGTGAAGCAGAGAAGTATGAATACTGCATTTGAATTTTTTAGCTTAGTGAGTAGGATGGCTTTGTTTAAATGATTCTTTACCTTTTTTTTTTTTTCTAGATCATTTGAGGGAGTTTGTTCCAGACTCCAGAATGCTCTGGAGAGCTTGCGAGGATTGGTTTTTGAATATAGTGTTCCCACAAAGGACATCCTTATTCAACTGGCGTTTGGAGCAGTTAATTCTGTAAGAAATCCAGGAGTTATATTTTAATAGTTGTTTTCTGGCGGTTATTTGAAAATTTTGGTTAATTCATAAAATGCTAGTTGTAAATATTATAGAATAGAACCTGATTTCTTTTTCGTTGCAGGCATTTGTTGCTCTGAAATGGAATTTCAAGGAACAGAATGTGGCCATTTTATCAAGGTTTTTTTTTTTTTTTTTTTTTTTTCTGGTTTTAATAGCTTTTGTTTGTTAAAATTTGATATGAAATCAATTTGTTTAGTTATCTCTCCGTTTTGCATTTTGCGAACAGGATACTCTCTGTTGTAAAGGGTCATGATCCTCCTCTGTTCCCTCCTGAAAAGATGAAAGAGGTGTGGTTTGTGGCATATTAGTTTAGGAACTGTTATCTTAGTAGGCTTTTTTCTGTTTATGGAAAACTTAAAGATTGTGTCTCTTTTTACAGATAGAGGTCATGATGCTCTCTCTGAACTCCCCTGCTGGAGCAAATGACACAGTGAAAGATATAATTGTTAAGAAGAAGGATCCTGATGGTTTAGCTGAAAATGTTGGTCTTGATTTGAGTGTCACAAATAAGTTGCCTTTATCTATGGATTCCATAATTCATAATAATCCAAACATGTTAACAGAAACGTTAAAGCCTGGAGTGCCTAATTTTAGGAACAGGGTGATTTCATTCCCTCTGTTAGACCTTCACAAGGATCATGATGCGGACAGCCTTCCCTCGCCTACACGAGAAACAACACCATGTTTACCTGTAAACAAGCCACTGACTATTGGAGATGGCTTGGTTAAATCTGGATTTATGATGGCTAAGGGTTCACCTGATGACGAAGATAATAAATTGCACCCTTATGAAACGGATGCCCTCAAAGCCTTTTCTAACTATCAACAAAAATTTGGTCGGGGTTCTTTCTTTTCAAGTGATAGACTTCCAAGCCCAACCCCTTCTGAAGAATCCAGTGATGAGGGTGGTGATAATGGTGGGGAGGTTTCTAGTTCCTCCAGCATTGGTAATTTTAAACCAAATCTGCCTGTTTGGGGGCATCCAATTGTTTCCTCACCGCCACAAGTTGATAGTGTCAGTTCCAGCATGCAAGGAAAGATTGCAACTCAAAATGCTACAGTTGTGACTGTGAGTTCTGCATCTAATATAGCGTTAAAGTCCTCTGCAAAAAGCAGAGACCCTAGACTTCGGTTTGCCAACTCTAATGCGAGTGCATTGGATCTAAACCAACAGCCCTTGCATAATGCATCTAAGGCGGTACCTGTTGGAGGAATAATGGACTCAAGAAAGCAAAAGAGTATTGAAGAACCTGTTTTGGACGGTCCTGCACTGAAAAGACAAAGGAAGGAGTTGGAAAATTCAGGGGTTGTTAAGGACGTCCAAACTGTGTCAGGAAATTGTGGCTGGTTAGAGGACACTGATGTTATTGGGTCTCAGGTAACAAACAGAAACCAAATTGTAGAGAATTCGGATTCAAATTCCTGGAAAATGGATAATAGAGTAACTTGTTCAAGTACCCTAAGTGGTAAAACCAATATGACTGTTAACAGAAATGAGCAGGTGCCAATGACTGGTATGAGTACCCCTTCATTGCCTGCTTTGTTGAAAGATATTGCAGTGAATCCAACCGTACTGATAAATATACTTAAGATGGGACAACAGGAAAGATTAGCAGCTGAAATCCTGCAGAAATCTCCTGATCCTGTAAAAAGTACATTGCATCAGCCAAGCTCAAATTCAATTCTGGGAGTAGTTACCCCCGTAAACATTGTTCCCTCAAGCTCGTCTGGTATTTTGTCAAAGCCTGCAGGAAATCTTCAGGTTCCTCCTCCGGTGAGCACCTCTGTCTCTTTAGCAAGTCACTCACCTTCATGCCATTACCCTTTTTCTCCCTAATGAGGATAAATAAAACTGTCTAAATTACTTTTATTTTAACATCTTTAAAAATTAATATTTATTTTGCATTCTGCTTTTAGTCATGATGTTTAATAATTGATGAGTTCTCAGGATGAGTCTGGCAAATTAATATTTATTTTGCATTCCTCTTTTAATCATGATGTTTAATAATTGATGAGTTCTCAGGATGAGTCTGGCAATATTCGCATGAAACCTCGTGACCCTCGCCGTGTTCTTCATGGCAATGTGCTTCAAAGAAGTGGTATCATGGGTCCTGATCAAGTAAAAACAAATGGAACCACCCCTACGTCAAGCACTTTGGGAAGCAAGGACAATCTGAATGTCCAAAAGCTGGAGGCTCAGACAGAATCTAAGCCAATGCAATCTCAACTTGTTCCAGCACCAGATATCACCCAGCAGTTTACCAAAAATCTCAAAAATATTGCTGATATTATGTCTGTTTCACAAGCATTGACTAGTCTGCCAGCAGTGTCCCAGAGTTTAGTCTCCCAACCTGTACAACATAAGCCTGACAGCATGGATATGAAAACAGTAGTTTCTAGTTCTGAGGATCAACAGACTGGGACTGGTTCAGCGCCTGAAGCAGATGCAAGAGGTCCTCATTGTTCACAGAATACATGGGATGATGTTGAACATCTCTTTGAAAGATACGATGACCAGCAAAAGGCAGCTATCCAGAAAGAAAGGGCAAGGAGGATAGAAGAGCAAAAGAAAATGTTTGATGCAAACAAACTCTGTCTTGTCTTGGATCTAGACCATACACTTCTTAATTCAGCCAAAGTGAGTTCTCATAAATGAGGTGTTAACTTTATTTTCTTTTCTTCTCTTAATTTATTTATTGTTAAATTTATCTGATAAAGTGTGCTTGCTTAAGCCATTCACTTTTCATCTTTTCAGTTTAATGAAGTAGACCCAGTGCATGAGGAGATCTTGAGAAAGAAAGAGGAACAAGATCGTGAAAAACCACAGCGACATCTCTTCCGCTTTCAGCATATGGGAATGTGGACCAAATTGCGACCTGGAATCTGGAATTTCTTAGAAAAGGTGAGTCATTATGATTCTTCCTTGGCTTCAGTATTCTTCGGGACTTCAGTTCTAATTAGAACACTTTGTTCTCTGTCATCATTACAGGCTAGTAAGTTGTATGAGCTACATCTGTACACAATGGGGAACAAGCTCTATGCTACAGAGATGGCCAAAGTGCTTGATCCAAAAGGGGTTTTGTTTGCTGGACGAGTTATTTCTAGAGGTGATGATGGAGATCCTTTTGATGGTGATGAGAGGGTTCCTCGGAGTAAGGACCTTGAAGGGGTTCTTGGTATGGAGTCGGCTGTGGTTATCATTGATGACTCTGTGAGAGTTTGGCCGCATAATAAACTTAACTTGATAGTTGTAGAGAGGTATTCTTTCCTTGACTGAACAGTATAAATATCTTGATCCATGCCACTGTCTTGATCACGCTGCCCATCACTCCATCTAATTATATGTTCTACAGGTATACTTATTTTCCTTGTAGTAGACGCCAATTTGGGCTTTTAGGTCCGTCTCTTCTTGAGATTGACCATGATGAGAGACTAGACGATGGAACTTTGGCATCATCTTTGGCGGTGAGATGACCATTTTGCTTGATGTCTTCATTTATGAAAAATTAATGTCTCATCCCTTTTTTTGTTCAAATAGGTTATTGAGAGAATACATCAAGATTTCTTTTCACATCAGAATTTAGATGATGTGGATGTTAGAAATATCCTAGCCGCAGAGCAACGGAAGATTTTGGCTGGTTGTCATGTTGTATTTAGTAGGGTGTTTCCTGTAGGTGAAGCCAATCCTCACTTACATCCATTGTGGCAGACAGCTGAGCAATTTGGAGCTGTGTGCACAAATCAGATAGATGAGCATGTTACACATGTAGTGGCCAACTCTCTTGGAACTGATAAGGTGCTGATGCTCGCAATTCTTTCCAAACTAATTCTGTTTTCCGAGTTGTTTAATTGTTTAAAATATGGTAGTTTTGGCAGTGTTCAAGATCCCATTTCGATGACCTTTACCGAATTGATTAGTAGTCATATTTGTATTTTCTTCATGATACATGATATTTATTTGTAATTGCTTCTTGCCTTTTACTTTCGGGTAAACAAACTTGTCTTGTTGGATTTAGTAACATTAGAACAGAAAACCCCAACCTATTGTTTATATCAGTCATGAGTTGCTTATATGATCTTGTGTCTTTAATGAAATTTAATTTAGATTATTGCTTTGAACAGGTGAATTGGGCTCTATCTACTGGAAAATTTGTTGTTCATCCTGGCTGGTGAGATTGTCTATACTTGTCAAATTAGTTGTATACTCGCAATTATCAGCTGTTTAGACTAAACTTGCTTTCTGTTTCTTCTTTTTTGTTTTTTTACCATTCCAAAAAAATACAGGGTGGAGGCGTCCACATTGCTTTACCGGAGGGCAAATGAGCTTGACTTTGCTATTAAACCATAAATAATCACTCTCTAATCATTCCTGGTAAAACTAAGACCTGATAAAATCAAGATGGAGATTGAACAATCAGGTTGACGTTGGAATGGATTGCGCTGCATGATTTTCACTGAACACCTTATTCAGTCTTTTTGGTTGGCAATGGCAGCTATCTCTTCAATCGCCAACCTGCTGAACGTAGTTCCATTGACCCGGTTTGATGAGTGCATAGAAAGATGGTTTGTGCCCTCAGAGCTTCAAATTTTCCTTCTGGTGTAGTGGGTTTTGTGATTGAATAGATGAGTTGGCGAAGACATTGGTTAATCGGGCCGGTTTCGTTGAGCTCGCCTCTTGCAGTAATAATAAAATTGCCAAACGCTGGTTGTGCAAAATGAAATACAATTAAAACAAAAAAAAAAAAGAAAAGGAGATAGTGCAAAGACAGTCTCATCTAAAGTGTATTGAATTTATAGGCAGCCATCAATAGAAGGTGAGCTAAAAAAATCAAAACAAATATGATATGAAAGTTAAGGTTGGTTTCAGATTGCTGCTAGTGCCCGAGAGAAGCTGGGATTGAGCAATGAGTAGTTTGATAGGTGGCTCGTTGAGCATTGATTTTCCCATCCACCTGAAGTGATTGGTGTGGGACAGTGGGAGTTAGGTCTGATCGGTCTAACTTTATAACATGAGAATTGTAGCTGTTAGTGTTTTCAATTGTTGTGTAAATGTTAGTTGTTAAGGTTGTTGGTTTTCGTCGTCCGTGATTGGTCGGAATCCTAAAATTAAAGGCTGTATTTGTACTTTCGAACTTGTTGGATATGGTTATGGTTTTGAGGACCTGGAAGACTGAAAATGGAGAAGGAATGAAAGACCAAGGAAATGGTAGATATAATCATCTCTGACTGCTCGTTCTGATTGAGAATTAAGATTTCCCTCGGGCAATAGGAGAAATTTGACACGTAGTTTTAGGGGAACCACAAAGCTGGTAAACTACGCCACGCAACAATAATGCATTGTCGTCCTGTGAGGTAGATAAAATTTTTTAAATAAAGATTGTGAATATTTTTTAAAATTGATTTAATTAAAATATGTAAAAATTTATTAAAATTATCAGTAATAATTTAAAAATTAATATTTATTTAATGATAAAATTTTATTGAAAATTTTATTAAAAAATATATTAAAATTTATTAAATATTTTTCAAAATTTGTACATTTTGTTTATATAATAAAAAATTTTAATTTATCAAATTTAGTTTTTTATTTTAATTTTTATTTAATAATTTTAAATAAAAAATTATACGGCCTTTACCTACCAAATTCATATAAATCATTCTTATGGGGTGAAGGGAATGTGTTTCACGATGTTCAGAAACTATTCGCCTATTGAAAATTGGGAAGGCAAAAGATAAAGAAAATAACCTAAGAACAAAAAATGAGCTTTTCAGTTTGCAAATGATTACAAGGAACAAATGTAAAAAAAAAAAAAAAGCATTTTTCTTTCAACTTTCCATTGATGCTTACATATTAGAGAAAAATGGAAGCTTTGGCTAGTGAAATATCTTTTTATTTAACAAGTTAATGGTGTAGATTATTATAGTTTGAAGTTTCTTCTGGAATGAACGATGAATGGAACGAAATATCTCATGGAATGAAAGGATCACATTTATTATTAAAAACTTATACTATCAGTTTATCGTGATAGGTACTTCATTCATATAGCAAGAGGTTACTAAAATTATAACATATTGGTATGACTAATTTTTATTCCACATACACCAAAATTTTGAATAAAAAGAAAAAATAAAATAAAAGTTTTCCTCTGTTTGAGTGGGGAGTGTGAGATTTTATAAATTCGTATTAAACAATCACCAATAGAAATTGAGAGTTAAAATTGATATAATGAGAGTCACTTTTAGAATTTTTGTGAAATGAGAGTTGAGTGAGACATTTTCAAAATTCTAGTGAAATAAGAGTTGAGTGCTAAATGATAAAAGAAGACATCCTACAAATCCAATGTCATATGTTGGTGTGGCTCTTGAAATCCAACATCAGGTGTTTCTTCTTCGTGTGATGTGTTGGACTGATGATGACGATGATGTCAAAGTTTTAATCTCACGTTGAGGTATTGTGAAAATTTTATAAAAATATATATGTAAAAATTTAAATTCATATTTGTGATGTTTTTATTGCAAAACTTTTAGATAATATATATGTAAAAAATTTAAATTTATATCTATAAAATATTTTTTGTGAAATATAATCATAAGATCTTTAATTCAAAACGAATAATATCTTATAAATTAATTATGAATAAATTTAAATTTATTCTTATAAAATATTTTTTATAAAATATAATTGTAAGATCTTTAATTCAAAACAAATAATATTTTATAAGTTAGTTGTGAATTTTGTCTAAATTTATATATAATATATTTTATTTCAAGATTATGTAATCTTTTACAATGGTGTTTGAGTAAAATTTTCATTTACAATAGTAAAAATTAATTGAAATGAAGAATAACAAAGTTTGAATTAATATATGAGTGTATGTTTGTAAATTGTTTCTAACAGACTAAAAACTTGTTCTTTAAACTTTTTTGTCTAGGGCATTTTAATGTCTAAAGGCAAAATAGAAATTTTCCTTTAAAGTATAAGTTAGCTGATAAACATGGATATTTTGATCATTTCGGTCGAGTTAATGTGGTAGGCTGATATGAAATTTCGAGCTTCACATTTGTTTAGCTACCTCAATAGCCTACCTACTTGCACATTAGAGTACTGACTTGTTATCCTCGAGTGGATCGTCAATTGTTAGCTTAGCTCAGGCCTATGAGATTAGAGCTAGTCTCTCCACACCGATCTTGGGCCACCTAAGCCTAAGGTCTTTCATCGCACAAGTATAACTAGCCTTTTTCAGGTATTTCTAAACTAACTAAAATTTTAGCTTCCAAGCTTACATTTCACCTTATCCTTATTCTCACTCCTTGATCGAGTACTAACTTGAGTATTAGAGCATAAACATTAAGAAAACTCTCGACCTTTGTCATTAACATATCTCATTTTCTTGTGTTTTTAGGATTTTACCCCTCGCGAACAATTTAGCTCAAACATTTTTTAGCATTAGGTAAGGGGTGTTTTGATTTAATCAAGCTAAAATGCCATAAAAAAAGATAGTAGTTGAGGAAAAACTTATTGCAGCTGAGACTAATACCCAGCTCATCCAACCAAACCTAGATTGACCTGCTATAATAGTTCCAACAATAGAACAGTTTGAAGTAATAACATTGTAGCGACAATTCCTCAAAGAAATGATATACAACTTGAGCCACCATAAACTTCAAAAGCACCAAATCCAACAACTTTCAAGAACCCACCAACACATAAATTGTCAACCTATGATGACATTTGCTTTGTTTGCATCCAACAAGGATGAAACACCAATGATCCATTACTTTACAAATACTCTAGCACAAGCCACCATCCAAAAGTCCAAGAAAGCCACCTTGAAACAACAACCGAACAAAGATTTGGAGGTTCAAATGGAGACAATGGAAAAATAGTTGAAGAATAAAGCCTCCACTTTTGATAACAAGCTAAAGTTCCTAGAAACCTCCCCCTTATGTTAAAGAAATAAACTGAGTATTGCACCCAAAGGATTCAAGATGATTGCCTTGGAGATTTATGACAGTACATCTGATCCTTTTGACCATCTTAAGCTTTATTACACTAACATGATGACATAGAGATTTGACAAGCCCTCATATGCAAAGGGTTTTCCACAATGCTCAAGGGGTAGCCTAATCCTAAAATAGCATATCCTTAAGCCTTTTAGGATACCCCTTGAGCATTGTTGCTTTTTACTGTTGCTACTAAAATAGGATTCTACTGTTGCTTTTTAGATAAACATATCCTTAAGCCTTTAACTCAAGTCCTTAACCTTCTTACCAATATTTTTGCTTGTCTTTTATACTTTGAGTTGGAGAGTTTGAGCTTCCTCGTTGCCTTGTTGAAGGAGTTGAGCTCTTGAACATAGTTTTTGATGTCTTGCTTGATCTTAAAAAAGTGAGTGAAAGCTCAAAAGCGATGTATTAGGCCCTATCTCATGTTTTGAAAGACAAAGGACATGAGTTGATAAAAAACTACAAACAGTAACCCTAGCATAGAGATCAACAAAATAAGATAGAATATTAATTTATATAAATCGAGCTCAGAGATAAATAAACCTTTTTCAAACATGGTGGGGTCTGTGATCTTCTTCACTGCCTGGGGATGCTCATAAACATTCTTCGAGGAATCAAACTTCATAGTGATGGATACGCTTTCTGAAAAAGGGCTGGAGCTTGACTATAGGCTTGGATGAGGAGAACTCCACCCTTGGACTTTTTTGGAGCCTTTAAGTTGTGATATTTTTTTTCAACTTTTAGAGTGCAGCCAAGCTTTTGCGATCAATTTTTCCTTGCTAAGAAGGGGCCTTAACCCTCTTTCTTTATTTGGGAGGTTGTATAAAGCAGGACATGTCAAAGCCACCTACATCTCGACCAACCATGTTTGCAAAACAAAGCTAAACTAAGAGTTAGAACAAAGTTAATAAAAACAAAGTTAGTTGTGGAAAGTTAGTAAACACCTACCTAGTACTTGACCTCCTTAATGACACTAAGATAGGTCAATTTATAAGCATCAACTACTAACTTCCCTCTCTTAAAGAAGTCATTTATTGTATCTCAAACACCAAACTTGTCCTTAATCATGGGGCCAATCTTTGTTTATTTAAAAAATGCTCAAGCCTTTATTAATTTTTCAAACCCCTTTAACTTCTTCTATAAAGAAAAAGATGACCTTCTAGGTTTTTATTAAGCTTGGACAGTTGATAAAAATACTCTTAGTGGACCAAGCTATTACATAGAACCAGCTCTTATCATAAAAATGCTTCTTAACAGTAAAAAAACCTTGAAGAAGGGGATAAAAAAAAGACCTAATTCTTTATAAAGAATGACAAATCCTACTAGATACCTAAAAGAATTTGAGGCAAGCTAGGTAATAGTTAAATTGTAAGATAAAAGAAGTTCAACAATAAAAAATGTAAAAAAAAATAAGGTCGACCATACTAGAGTCCTAGTACACCCAAATCTTATCAGACTCTAATAAGGTAATAGCTTTATCCTTTGAGGTCATTATCATTATATTATAAACCTCTTTGGGAAAATCAAATTTGAATTTCACCATGGAGACATGATGAATAGAACACATATTAGGGTAGTCTTCAAGGTTAGCTTAGCCCTTTAAGTTCTTCATCACCTCTTTAGAGGTTATACATAGGAGGTTAAGGTGTAGTAGGGGGAAATGTCATCATCATAATCATAATCGTTGGTAGCTTTTGTCTCCCTTCACCTGTACCATACTCTTTAGCTTGGCCAGACCTCTTGACCTATTCAGAACCCTAAGCCTGTTTAGCCTCAAAAGTTTCATT